AAAAAAAAAAGCAAAAAAAAAGATGGGGGCTCTGTTTACATTCTGAGTTCTTGTTCATGGTCTGTGTGACTTACACAAATGGATTGTCCCGGATCATGTGTAGTGCATTGCAGAACCAGACCATTACATAAGCTTTTTGGTGATAGCCCCACCCACCTCCAGTGCCTCTATATATGGGGCTTCCTGCCAAAACTGCCAGTTCCTTTTTGTCTGTCACTGCGGCAGCATTGCTAGGAACTGTGTTACTCCATTTTGCTGGGGGCAATTAGCTTACACATTGTAAACCATTAGGGAGTGCTTAAGTGCACCGATAAGTGGTATATAAATGTACTCACTATTGCTATCAGTCTTTGTTGGCAGAATCTTCATTGGCCAATTCTGGCCTGTTTGATTTGGCAGTTGTTATTGTTGGCCACACTTGCCCTTCAGGCTATTTCTACCACTGGCATTTTTCAAGAAGTGTGTCTCATGTGGTGCTAAAATCCCAGAATGGGATGGACATTTAAAGTGCCTTCAGTGCCTTGGCAAGCCTCATGTCATTATCTTCTGTAAAGCCTTTACACCTCATGCTAGATAGAACAGAGTTGCACCTGAAAGCATTCTTGTACAAACAGGCCCTTAGGCCTCAAATACCATCTACTCTGCCTTCAGGTTCGGCCAGTAGGAACTGACAGAGAAAGAGAGCTTTGACATCAAAATCAATTATGGCTTTGGCTTTGATCTTGTCAACTGGATCCTACATCTGTCCCACTGGCAAGCATTCATGGGCGGAGTCAGTATCTGTACCATCCAAGGCCATACAGGCACATTCTAGTACTGTGGTGTCATGTAAGTGCCCACTTATACTTGGTTGTTCACTAGAAGCTGGGATAGAAGCAGAAGCTCATCAACGGAAACAATAAAAAGAATAAGCATCTCAAGGACAAGGACCATTGCAACCATCTTAGCACCTCATCTCAAATAGCCGTTGAGATCGTCTCACTGTAAGAGCATCCCTCTCCTGCTCAGTCGACCCCAGCTGCGTTGAAGGCCACAGAATGTGCTACTCCAACAGTTGTTCCATAAGCATTAGAGACCCCTTGCTGATCCTCCAAACCTGTTGAAGTAGCTGAGGCTGCTTGGCCCTAGAATTAGAATGCATTGGAGGGTGCAATTCTAAAATTGTCTCCTGTAGTGCAAGTCTCAGTTACATCTATTCCTAGAAGCCCTCCTCCCCCTTAGGTATGCCTACAGCTAGGCCTTTGCCTCCAGTATTGTCTCCACCACATTGATGTTTATGTCAATTCTGTTCCAGATCTTCCTCTTCAACCTCCACTACCAATTCTGACTCATCCTTGAGTTTGAGGCATCATTCCAGGAGACATAATTGGTCCCCACATTCTCAGTACCCTGACTATCGGCATCATAAGGATCTCAGTTGTTATGATAGAAGTCACTTGAGATCTACACAGACTCTTCATATTATTGTTGCAAGTTGGTGTTCAGCCTGTTTTTAATGGAGTTGCTGTTATCATGAAGGAGCAGGTGTATAGTTTAGGAGTGCTGGTTCATCGATCAGTACAGTAGCAACTTCGAGTGGACTTGTTATCTTGGAGCATCTTTTGCCAGGTTTGACTTGTTTATCATCTGTATCATTTTCTGAGTAGAAATACTTTTGTCACAGTGGTTGGTACTCTGGTAATTTTGAGATCAGGTTACTGTTAAACAAAGATGCTAAACATCTGTTTCTGCAGATGTTGTTGACTGAAGAACAATTAACAAGAGGGCTATAGTTTCCATCATTCACTATGCTGGCTAGAGCTACAGTAAATTTTAGTTCAACAACATCTGAAGGCATCTTCCCTGCCGTAATGAGTTAAACATGAGGATACCCTTGAAAACAGCCTGGAAGTGTGAACTTTTGTAATATTTAGCAGGTAGAATTCTAACCAGTTTAACAGTGAATCCATGTGACACTAATTCTTGAGGACTTACATTGAGTGGCAGTTATCATTTTTACCTTTCTAAATGGCTTGGAGCCCAGGTGTCTGAATATGAGTATCTAATCACATATCATTCTACCCATACATTAAGATCTTCTGCAAATACCGTCAGTGGGAGCAAAATAGGCACTTAAAAAAGAGAGGGGACTTCTCTTGTGGTGATCTGATTTTGGAATGCCCTCTTAGGAAAGATAAAATAGACACCATCCTTGCTTTATATTTGGCACTGAATCAAAACTTTCCCCTTTGTCCAATCATTTTAATGATGTAAAGAAATAAACTTTTTTTCATTCTTGATGAGAAAGCGCATTTCAGCTCACTAAGACACTGTTCAAAAAATAATAGTCAGTTGCAGTGAAATTCTTCATATTCTTGATTTTTTTTTTTTGTACAGGTGCAAAACACGGCAATAATTATTCAGCTTCTGTAAAATAATTTCCTCCATTCTGAAGTGGTGAAATGTCTCTTGTAATTACTTAATTTCTGAGCTTTAAGCTAAAATACATTGGTAGTTTTGGTCATACACCTTTGCCTTTATCCCCATCAAGCAATGAAATCCCCCATGCACTTTGGGTTTTCAGGCTTGTTGTTGTTGTGTGCCTTCAAGTCATTTTGGACTTATGGTGACCCTAAAGCAAACATGTCATGGGGTTTTCTTGCCAAGTTTCTTCAGAAGGGGCTTACCATCACTATCCTCTGAGTTTGAGAGAGTGTGACTTACTCAAGGTCACCAGTGAGTTTCCATGGCCTAGCTGGGATCTGAACCCTAGTCTCCTGAGTCCCAGTCCAGCATTCAAACCACTACACCACACTAGCTCGCTTTAGGCCTGGCAAGGATAAAAAAGCCCCTTGGGGAAGTGCATATAGCTCACAGGTCACAGTTCGCCTGGCCTAGAAGATGGATAGTAGTTCATACTTTTCATACTTCATACAAGGCTTCTTTTTGACAGCAGAATTACAGAAGCTTATCACATGTGGCCAGATGCCTTTCTATCTTGAAGCATGAAGGTGTTACATTATGTCTCACAAAAGTTTCCAAGTGATGGTAATAACCTGTTTTGGGGGAACAAGCTATTTGAAACTAGAGCAGCATTGCTTGAACTGACTTTGTCAAGGTGAAGAAACCTATGTTGGCAACTTCAGTTATGACCCTTCTGAAATAGCCTGGAGCCCAACAATGTGGGTTGGCACAGTCTTAACTGAGGATTGCTTTCTGCAGTCTCAACTTGTAGCTTTCTCTGCCTGGAGACTTCATGGGAGGGAAAGCAGGAAGTGTATCTTTCAGCAGTTTGAGGCATGACCCTGCAACCTCAGGTTTCCAGGCACTAATGAGTTTGCTGTGCTGTTACTTTCCCAAGGTAATAGGGAATGTTAATTGCCAGAGGGGTTAGGTACAGTTCAGTGCATGCAGGAGTCAGTCTTTTATGACAATAGCACAAGTGAGGGGAAAGGGGAAAGGACTGGTAGAGCTTATTGCTATTACCTTTAACTACAGTGGAAGATGTTACTCTGGCACTGTGAAAAAGATCTTCTCTGTCAATACAGTTTGAAGAACTAGTTCTGTACATGTGCAGACTGAAAGTCTAGAGTAGAGGTATTAATGCTTGATGTTTGGGATTACAGTTCCATTCAACCCCACCCAACATAGCCAGTGATAAGGAGTTGTGGCATTTATAGACCAAAATAGGTGGATGGCCAAGGTCTCCACACTTCTTGTAGAGCATTGTTTCCCAAACTTTGGTTCTCCAGATGTTTTGGACTTCAGCTCCCAGAATTCCTGATTGCTGATCAAGCTGGCAAAGGCTTCTGGGAGCTGAAGTCCAAAACACTTGGAAGACCAGAGTTTGGGGATCACTGTTGTAGAGCTACGCCATGGAGAAAGGGGAATTTGACTTTTAAGGTTTGTCCCAAGAGCAAGTACGCTGGGCCACAAAGTTGGGAAGTGTCACTTTGTAAATTTCTAACTGTTGCAACTTCAAATGAAGTCAGTATTTTGTGGTAGAATACGTGACACCCAGTTAACAGTCTTTTCTCATCTTGTTTTCAGGGTAAGCATTCTTCTTTCTCTTTAGCTTGAACCTTCATTCTGTGAGAACGATGGAAAGAAAGCATACATATGCCACTGACCTATCCCACTAACCCCAGCTAGTTAACAAAGGGGCAAAACAGATGGGCAGGACCCAGGGCCATGGCAAACACACACTGCGGCCCTGAGGGCGCCTCCTGCCACAGTCCCAAATGGACCACAGAAAGAAGAAAAGATCTGCTCCTTTTGGTGCCAATTTTGGGCAGCCCCAGCTCAGCCCCATCTCAATGCCACACCTCCAGAGTGGCCAGAAGCCACCTCAATCTGCCCATCTGTTTTGCGCCTCAATCTCACTCATTACAGTTTCCTCTTTAGGTTTTCTTGTAATTACTGTTTATTTTATTTTATTCATTTATATCCCACCTTTCTCCCAATAATGGGACTCAATGCATCTAGCAACATACAAACAATACAGATTAAAATTGTACAAAATCATTAATAAAATGAGTTATTTAAAAATTAAACAATATATAAAGTTAAAACATTAAACATTAATAACATTAAAATTCATTAAAAGACCACTATTTATCCCAGAAGGCTTTGCATGGCTGGCTGCAAAGCTGCTATGGTGCCCACATGTTGTTGCCTCAGCCTTTCTTTGTTGAGGAAGATGGCATTTGAAGTTTCCTTGGTGGTCTTCAGCAAGTGGAGCACTGGGGAAAACATCCGCACACAGAATATTTCAGCTGCTGTTTCTATTGCCAATATTGTGAAGAGTTTTCATAGGGCCTTTGCAGACTGCCAGAAATAGTGCAAATTGAGTCCACTTTAAGGGTTAGGGTTAGTGCTAGGGAATCATGGGAACTGTTTTTTCCCCTTTTTTTCTGAGACATTGAGCCTTCTCTGTCAGAGAGCTCTGGTGCCACAATAAAACACAGTTCCCATGATTCCCTAACCCTTAAAGTGGACTCAATTTGCACTATTTCTGGCAGTCTGCAAAGGCCCTTGGTCTAATTGGCTTGGATAAAATCCTGGTAGATGACATTGGTTCCAATCCTCTGCATGGCCTTCCCTCCATCTTAACTGCTAGTACTCTGGCCTCAGAGGGAGAGAAGAACCACTGGACTTGATCCCCTTCTCTACTGCCATTCTCTTCTCCTTCTGTGTCATGTCTTTTCAGATTATAAGCCTGAGGGCAGAGAACTGTCAAATTAACAATCTGTAAACTGCTGTAGCTGCAGAGCGGGGTATAAATGTGCTAAATAAAACAAACAAACCTTTAAAATAGCACAGCATTAAATTACCACCCCAGCCAGTTTTTTAAAAGATTGATGGCATAAAAATGTTTTAACTTGCTGACCAAAGGAAAGCAGAGATAGGGCTATCCCAGCCTACCTAGGAAGGGAGTTCCGAAGTCTGGGAGCATAAACCAAGAAGAACAGATCTGTTTGTTACTTTTACTAAACTGTTGTAAGTTGTCCCGATTCCCTTCCATGTTCTTGTCTTAGCTGCCTGCACCCCCCCCCATAGCTGAATACAACAATTACTCAGTTTCCATTCCAGCAATATCCTCCCTGCATACATTTGCCTCAATAAATGTCTTTGAAGGTTCAAGACTTTCTTTGACCCTCTTGTAAGTCTTCATTTAGATGTGTTTTTCATTAGCTGCATTCAAATGTCATGTTATCCTGTCATCCACTCCATAGTATTTTGAGGCATTGGAGATGAGCCATGTGCTCATGTGTGCCCTCCTTTTACATGGTTTATTTGCCAAAATACTTAATAGCATAGTAAATGGCTACTAGAAAAAAGTCCTTTCCCCCGACTGTGGAATGTCCTCCAAAGAGAGATTCATAGTGTTATCTTTCTGGCAGCAAATGATGACCTCTTCCTTGTGCAAAAGATTTTAACATTATTTTAGGATAATCACCACTTCTAATTCTGTTGTATTGTTTTTTCTACTGTTGGCATTTTTATTTATTTTATTAAATGTTGTACTCTGGCTGGTTTAGTCTTTCCTGTTTTTAGTGGTTTATAATAGCTTTTCTTAATAATTACCCAAAGGATAGTGTTAAGTGGACAATGTATAAATACTGTGTACATATTTAGCCATGGTTTGATCCTAGTTTGTAGTACTTGGTTCAATCATAGTTTGTTGGTTTATGAGCAACAGCAAACTGTGGCTTAGTTGAGTCACATGTGTTCTACTAAAACAGATTATTCTGTTAAACTAAGTGTTGTGGGGGGGAATAAAGTACATCAAAACAGGGTTTGTTTCCAACCCCTCATAAAGATTACACTTTTCTTTCACTGGTAGTTAATGTGGTAGCCTGAGTGTGCATTTATATTTTGAGGGGAGAGATTCCTCTTGTTCCTAAAATGGAACTTTCCATTCCTACAGATTTTGGTTGAAATTGAACTGAGTTGTATATGTTGGTTCTTGCTATAGCATTCATATTTGGAACATATGGAGTTAGACTGGATTGTTAATTACTGTTTCCAGCTGAACTCAAAATTATGCTGGTAGCAGAGCAATTCTCACACAACATCCCTGATCTTGGAAACTTGCAATTGATACTTGAAGAAAAATATTCTGGTAGAGAATTTTCTATAGTTAAAGATAAATGAAGTAACAGATTAATGTAGAGAACACATGGATTTGCAGAAACAGTTGTTTTTCTGGTTGGTTCTCAGTTAGTTTGGAAATGGATGATCAATTTGTTAAATTATCAGTTCATTAGATTATCCTCTAATGGTGCTTAGTTTACTAAATTTCTTGATGAACACTGAAATTACTCATATCCTTTAACAAGCTCATTATTTTTAAGTAATTAGACTTTGTTGGAGATGAAATTATTCCCTTTTTCTGGGAGGGTTTGTTTTTACTCCCTGCAGTTTTCATCCTCTATTGCAGGAGTGGGAAACCTACACAACATCTGAATCCCCTGATGCATAACATGTACTCAGGACAAGAAGCTACTGTTAGGACAGAATATGGAGAAACAAAATGGCTTCCAGTTGGCAAGGGAGCCAGGCAAGGCTGCATTTAATCATCCTATCTGTTTAATTTGTATGTGGAACATGTCATAGGTCAGGGGTAGGCAACCTTTCCCCTTTAAGGCCGAGGGACTTCAGCTCCCAGAAGCCTCAGCCATGTTGGCCAATAGCTCCTGGGATTCTGGGAGCTGAAGTCCCTCGGCCCTTAAAGGGGAAAGGTTGCCTACCCCTGTCATAGGTAAAGCAGGATTAGACATGGAGGCAGGAGGTATGAGAAATGGAGGAAGGAACATTAGCAATTTAAGATATGCATATGACACTGTACTACTAGCAGAAAATACTGAAGTCTTGGAACAATTACTGAAGAAAGTAAAGGAAGAAAGTGCAAAGACAGGTTTACAGTTGAATATTAAGAAAAGCAAAATAATGACAAGAGATGATTACAGTACATAACTTTAAAGTAGATGATGAAGACATTCAATAGTTAAATTTAAATAGTCTACATTAAATGAATTCATTAAATAGTTAGAGATTTTCCATACTTTGACTCAGTCATTAATCAGAATGGAGACTGCAGTCAAGAAATCAGATGACTTAAGACTTAGAAGGGCAGCTATGAAGGAATTAGACAAGATCCTGATGTGTAAAAATATATAATTGAATACAAAAGTTAGGATTGTCCATGCTATAATACTTGAGGAAAGTTGACATTTCACTTGAAGTGTGCTGTAGGAAAATAGTTCTAGAGATACTGAAGACTACTATAAAGACAAATGAACCCTAGAGCAAATAAAG